CAACAAATTAAAACTTGTGAATACCAAATAAACAAAGTAATATTACCCATCAATACCAATCATTCAATCAACATCCATCAAAATAACAATCAACACCACGCAGAAAAAATTGATTTCTCAAACTAGGTATTGCTATATTGATTATAAATCATAGATAAACAAAATCTCAGACACCCATCTAGATGTGATGAAATCTGTAATAACACTGTTTAAACACCACAAATATGTATATATATTCTCCTTAGTTGTGATCAACCCTATTACCGGAGTTTCCATTGGACTTGTTTGAGCTCTCATAACTGTTGCTGTTCTTCCCATCCCTAACTATTTCTTCAATAGGCGCTCCACCCGTCCTCCTCAACAACTCATCAACCTTCCTCTCAATGCTATCTAAGTTGACAAGAATCTGTTTCGTTACAATCTCCAAATCACCCAACACCAAATTCTGGACCACCCTCCTCAACATGTTCGTCATTCCTTCTAAGGCGGCCGTGTTCTCTTCAGCGTGAAAAATGAAAATCAAATGGGAATTAGGGTTTTATGTTAGGTTAAAATTGTAGATGGGCTTGGGTCCTGGAAAATATTACATTTGAAAAAAAAAAAAAAAAAAATCTAATATTATATGAACTCAAAAGATTATAATTTTTTTTATTAGTAGGCTAGTAGCTTCCTATTTATTATTTTTTTAAAAATCAAATGGGCCAACTTATAAAATTAATTTTTTTAAAACAATTAACCACCTGTTTTAAAGGATTTATGAATTTTTTTTAATAGCTGATGTGAACATATTTAATTTTTTATTAATAAATGTGAATAAATTTAAAGAACTCATTATTAAACTGTCTGGTCAATAAAAAATAATAATAAAAAGAAGGTAAAGCACAGAAATCCCCTCCATAAGAATTTGGATCCTCTAAATTAAATTTTTTTTATCCTAAGTTAAATTCTCTACATATTGACACGTGACTTTTAAAATTTATTTATGACTTGTGTTAAACACGTCAACTAATTTAAAAAAAACTTAAAAACTGCGATGTTTTGAGATAAAAAAATTTTACCAAACTTTGAAAACTGCACCATTTTAAAATAAGAAAAATTCTTCATACTTTAACAACGTTAATATCGTTCTCTCTCCCTCATCTTTTTCGAAAAAGATAGTTCATTCTCTTTCCTCCTCTTGGAAATTTAAACTACAAAATTGCTCAGTTGGTTCACTCTCTTTTTCTAAAATCTAAATTACAAAATTCCTCTCTTTTTTCACTCTCTTTTTTTTTTAATTTAAATTGCAAAATTCAAATTTTTTTTTTTTTTTTTGAAATTTAACTGTAAAATCCATTATTGAGAATTTTAATTTGGGGACGTAGTTTAACACAAACAATAGATAGATTTTAAATGTCATATGATAACTTAGAGAAAATTTAACTTAAATGATCAAAGTCCTTTTAATAAACCCCTTGTCTATTTTTTTACAAAAGAACCTCTTGACTTGTACCCCTTTTTCAATAAATCTCCATTATCTATGTTTTTTTTACCAAAAAACCACTCAACTATGAATAGGGTTAAAATAATTGATATTTTGACCAAATTCTTTTTATTTAAATCTTAATTGTTCCGAACTTCAAAAATTTATATAGTTTATAAAATAAGAATCTAAAAATATAAGATTTGTATAACAAACCTGAATAAAAATAGACAATCTAAAAATCTATTCCAATAATTTTATTTTTTAAAATAAAATAAAATACTGGATGGGAGAGATTCGCATCAATGTCATTCTCAATCCACCTCTTCTCCTTCCTTCTCCTTATCGGGTTTTCACGAACTACATATAAAATATTTTATTTATCTCTCCTCCCAAATTCTTTTGCTTGAAAACTTGGTCAACTCCAATTTTAGCCGTTGGTTTTAACATCTGGTGCTCTTCCTTTGATAGTAGTAGTTTCGCCATGCATCACAAAATAAAATTTTGTTAGTATACTAATAACAGAGTCATAATCCGATTTATATTAGGCTAGATGAGACTAACGACCATTAACGACCCAACTACTAGTGAACCATGGTTCTATTTCTTCTTGTTATTGCAAATCATGAACAGAATAGCAAACAATTAATGTAGAGATTTTTTTTTTTCCTTTTAAAATGAATTAAATTATATATAATATGTATATCTGTATCTAGTTTGGAAGAGACGGAAAAAAGGAAACTCAATTAATTCATTATTAGGTTACCGTTACATCTTTTCACATTTATAAATCTCAATTAAAAAAAAAAATTCTGACTAGCTAATTGATTATAAAGGTAAACTATATAGGATGCTCATTCCAATTATAAACAAAGAAATAATTCCATTTTTCAAACCTCCATATTTATCACATGGTTTATATTTGAATCATTCCAAATATAAATAAGTAACCTTTTCTAAATATACAAATTTATAATTACATGTGCAATAAACAAAATTAATAATAGATTTATTATTGATAACTACTTTTTACAGTCATTTGATTAAATCCGTTGGCCATAGTAACTTTCCATACGAACAAATCATACTAGCCGTTGTCAAATAAAGCAACCAAAATAATTTTAAATTAGGTAACGGATCAGCACAAATAATATATATATAATTAAAATAAAAAATGTCAGTTTACCTAGTCCATGCATCAAATTTATACACACATTCATTTAAATACGTGCCATGAAAAATGTGATACAATCCAAAAACAGTCTGATTAAATTAACAATAGTATACTAAATACATAACCAATACTTCTAAAATACAATATATTATATTAGCTTTAGATTGTTGTGAAAATTTCACATATTTATAGAAAAATATAAAATATAAAATTCAGACATAATGATTCAAACTAATGAACAATAACACCAATGAATAATCAAAGAATAATTCTCCATTAAACCGAATAATACATCATTTGAACAATATGGATATAAATATAAATTAAGAAGTAAAACGATAATAATAAAATAGGTAAGAAAGTGTTATAGGTATTGGCGAAACTAGTCAGCATCAAAATACAACCCAATCAGTTAGCAGCGGCGTCTCCTCCATGTGTACGACCACACGAAGATTAGGTCCAAATCTATATAAATGTAGTTGCTCATAAACTCAATATGTAAAACTACTCGTACCCTCAAGGAAAAAAAGATAGACAAATAATATTTTATTAATACGTTCACAGCAACATATCACACACCTGCATATCACTATACCATATGTAACGTGCAAGGTAATATAACCCCATAAATATTATTTAAATCATATAATAATAATCATCCTTATAAATATAATAAATAATTATATTAAATACTATATATATTTATATTAAAATATCTATAGCAGTTATTGGATATCCCACAAACTTGCCTTCACAATATTGAGCCACAAATTATCAGAATAGGGAATACTTTTCTCCACACTAATATACAATAATTTTTCAAAATATAATTCAACAAAAAGATGGCCGTTTTTTTGCTTTAATTTTTAACAAAGGAAGCTATTAAGAAAAAATTCTTTGTTTGGTTTTCTCCGGTATCTTAAATTGCACAAAAAAGCAAATACATTTTGTTTCTAAATAATAACTAAATAAACTAGATTCCTCATGAGCGAAATTTTATAAGCGAAAGTCATGCAATGCCTGCGTCACACTCCACACCGTCACTATGACCCAAAATAGTATTTGCCCAGTAAAGATTGGATGACTAATTACAACCCAAGTTCATGTACCTTTTAATTAAAATAATAATTTATAAATCTAAATTTGAGTATACATATAAACCCCAAACCCTCTCTTCATAGTTACGGTTGATAATAGAATGAGAAATAAAACTCTATCAAATGGTGTCATGTTACAAGCCCTAAAAACCTGAGCAGAATCAAACACATGCAACTGTCTACAAAAAGGTAAACTGCTGTGTGACAAAATAAAACGTGTTGAGAATAAAATTGGTGATGGCAGTACAACAAAGATTTTTTTTTTTTTTTTTTTTTTTTAATGACGTGGAACTCTTGCAATTACCCGCTCTTTGAATTTGTAATTACCAGATAAACCTTGACTATCCATCCGGTCTCACAGTGCGAGTAGCATTTTAAGTAAGAACTTGCAGAATGGCGAGGATTCGAACCCACACCCAAACACTAGATATAATGGTCCAAAACTTGAAGGCTCGTCCTACCAACCATCTTTGCTACGCCCACAGGGATGGTATAATAAAACTATTCCTACATTCCTGGTGGAAGTTCCTAATTTGATGAGATAAATGTATATTACATCCAATGAATAATGATTTATGACCGAGTTGAATTGTTATTATATATATTCTATTTATGTAAGCGTGGTGGTGGACTATATTATATGATGTCATAATGACGCCACGTAATGGTACTCAAAAATAAAATTTGTAATCACTTTCGCCACTTCCCACTACATAGTGTTGGGTAAAGTTGGTAGAGTCCACCATCTTGTTATTTTTTATTAAAAAATAATAATAATAAATAACAACAACAAACGATGTAAGTTACTAAACTAATTTTGTTTTTGACAGATTTAACACTGCAACAAATCAGTGTTTGCATCAACTAGTATTTGCACAATACAGATTGAATAACTAGAAGATTACTTAGATTAGCTTTTAATTAATTTGTAATAACAATATACAAATACAATTTTGAATTCCAAGACCTCATTTGTTTCCATATATAGATCATTGAGTAAACCATTAACTGTCAGAGTAGAATTAGGAGGGAGGTTTTAACATTAACAGCTGGAAAAAGTAAAGACTATATATATATATACACACACTTGTTGATATCATCCCAGACACTACAACGTGTTGATATAATCCCAAAAACTACTTTAAGAAGTAAGAGAAGTTAGGTTTTGAAGATTTCGTTGCAAACAAACGTGGCATTGTATTAACCTTATATTAAGCAATTTTATTGCTTTAATATCGCAATTTTATCACATTCAAACACAGTCAAACGTGTTGATAACATCCCAAACGTTACTTATAAATACAGTTTCACCCAAATCAAATCAATTCAACTGTCGCACATTTACAATTTAACCCAGTAAAAGCCCTCTAAATTTAGCCTATATATTTACACTCAATCACTCTATACATATAGGACTTGGTAAAACACACTAAAAACTGAAACATTTGGAGAGAAAAAAACACACACAAAAAAAACCACCCATTGATGGCCACCCGTGTTGTACGTCCAAAGCTCCTCCATAACCTCCGCTACTTCGTCAAGCCTCTCAACTCTGCTCCGACGTCCACCGCCACCCTTCCGCCTCTCAATTTTGACAGAAAACTGGTTACCAACGTATCAACATTACCATCAACCACCACCACCACCTCTGCTGATTCAATTCTCAATCTTGATAGTGCCAAGGAGCTTTTCTCGACGGTTTCGAGTGTGAAGCTGGTGCGGTCGTCGATAACGCTAGACGTGGTGGCGATGGAGCAGGTGGTGGATTTGGGCATGTGGGTGATGAATTCCAGGCTCATGGAAGTGCCTGTCTTGCGTGAGACTATATTGGGGACGGTAAAGCATACGTTTTTCGAGCATTTCTGTGCCGGTGAGTGTCCCGAGGAGGCCTGCCGGACGGTCCTCAAGCTCCGGGACGCCGGCCTGAGAGGAATGCTCGATTATGGGTTGGAGCATGCAACGGATAATGAGACGTGTGATCGGAATTTGGACGGATTTATTCAGACCATTAAATCAACCAAATCGCTTCCACATTCTTCTGTAAGCTTAAGTTGAAAAACTCAATCTTTTCCAAGACATTTAGTTCAGTATTTAAAAACATAAAACAATTTGAGAATTAGAAGAATGAATTTTTTTTTTTTTTAAATAAAAGTCTGAAAAATCTTTCATGATTTTTTGAAACTTAATTCAGAATTCTTAAAAATTGTTTTCAGAATCCATTTTCAAATTCTGGGTATAGGGCCCACCACCCTTCTGACATTCTTTTTTGGAGTTTCAGACTCAAAACTATTTTCCTTTTCAAACATGTTGTCAAAAATGTATATTTTTCAGACTCAATCCATTTTTTTTTACCTTTTTTCTAGTTAGACTCAAAAACCATTTTTCCTTTCAAACATGTTGTCAACAATGTATATTTTTCAGACTCGAAACCATTTTCCTTTTCAAACACGTTGTCAAATATGTATATTTTTCAGACTCGAAACCATTCTCCTTTTAAACATATTAAAAGATGTTTACACTTAGTATGAACATAAAATTTAGTACCTGAACTAGGTTTGAGATAGAGAATGTAAAGATATCAAAGATGAAAAATAGTCATTATATATTTAGAGAACCATCAACTTTTTGCATTTTGTGTTACATATTACATTGACAACACCGTGAATGATTGATCGAAAAGATGAAAATTTTACCCCCACAGGTTAGCTTTGTCATTGTGAAGATGACTGCAATTTGCCCTCAGAGATTGCTCAAGCGAGTGAGTGATCTACTAAGATGGGAATACAAGGACAGTTCTTTTGATCTGCCATGGAAACTCAACACTCTTCCAATTTTCTCCGAGTCCAGCCCTCTTTATCACACACTCGAAAAACCAGAACCTTTAAGCCCACAAGAAGAGCATGATCTCCACTTAGGCCACCAAAGACTCCTAAAGATTTGTCGAAAATGTCTAGAAGCTGATGTCCCCTTAACAATTGATGCAGAGGACACATCGGTTCAACCTGCCATCGATTACTTCACGTACTCTGCCGCGATCATGTACAACAAAGATAACATTTCAATCATTTATGGGACAATTCAGGCCTATTTGAAAGATGCAAAAGAGAGACTGTTGAATGCATCGAAAGCTGCAGAGAAACTAGGTGTGCCAATGGGGTTTAAATTGGTGAGGGGAGCTTATATGTCAAGTGAAAGGCAATTGGCTGCTTCTTTGGGTGTTGAGTCTCCAATCCACAATACCATTCACCAAACGCACGCGTGCTACAATGATTGTGCTTCTTTCATGCTCGAGAAGGTTGCTCATGGCTCCGGTGCAGTAGTTCTTGCTACCCACAATGTTGAATCAGGTAAGGAACTAACACATTGTATTTAGAACTATGTTAAGGAATTGTCAATTGTAGTTATATTGTTTTGACATGTAAGTTGTTGATGGTGATAGGGAAAATGGCAGCCGCGAAAGCACTAGAATTGGGGATCGAAAAGGAAAATTTGAAGCTCCAATTTGCTCAGCTGTATGGAATGGCTCAAGCACTTTCTTTTGGTTTGAGAAATGCAGGTTTTCAAGTTAGCAAGTACATGCCATTTGGACCTCTAAATCAAGTTTTGCCCTACCTTCTAAGGAGGGCTGAAGAGAACCGAGGGCTCTTGTCTACTTCAACCATTGACAGACACCTCATGAGGTAAACTAGTTTGTTAAAAAAGGGTATAAGAATCTATAGAACAAAAAGGTTGATTTTGGTTTCATATGTTGTTTTTTTGTTCTTCGATCTACTTGCAGGAAGGAGTTGAAGAGGAGACTTAAAGCGAAGATTCACTTTGAAGAACGATCAAGCCTCTCGATGAATCAAAATTGTACATGAACAACTACTTTAGCTTGAAGCATATTTGTGTTGTTTCATTTGATTTTAGTGACACTGCAGTTTCAGAGATGTATGTACTCTTCTAAGTTTTATTAAACTGCAAATCCTGTTGATTTGCTTCATCTGTGAACATCCACAAGCATAATATTCTAGCGTTGATCATGAAATTTAACACATAATTTCTGCATATTGTGTGGTTAGGGATGATGATCTCTCTCACTAAGTGCATAATATGTCACAATAAAGGTCTCAATCTGATGAGCTGGTTGACTCAATGTATGGCATGGGATGGGACAGCAGGGTCTCAATTCATTGAGGGTGATAGGGATGCATGAATGAATGATGAAGTCCGAACAAAGTGAGCCGAGCCCGAACAAAGGTACCTGCGTGAATGAAAGTGTGTGCCTTCTGAGTATGTCGAAAAAAAGAGGAAATTTTTTACCATGATGAAGTTGTTGGGAAACATGCTAATTTTAAAAACTTTTTGAGGGATTTTGATTCATAGATCTTGATTCATCACATAGAGACAAATTTTATGCAAAAATAAAATATGATGTATCATTCAATTAATAGATTGAATACTTACATCAAAGGTCTGAGTAAACCTTTAAATCTTTCCTCTAAAGTGAATGTTCTCACTTATTGTAGATCCCTTAGGAAGATGCCTTCTCCTTGGATTTCCATCTTCTTGGTAATTGTTTTGCCTTTAGGAATCACTCATAAACCTCCATGAATGACCTTGGAAAATTAGGCTTGTGGGAACCTCCATTAGATAAGAACATAAACCCTAATTTTCTAGAGAGAGAAAATAAATTCATTTTTCCTTCCTCTAAAAATCACTCCTAAAATATACATAGACCATGTATATTTATAGGCAACATAAAGGTAAAGAAAATGAAACAACTAATCATTCTCAATCTCTAATTCACATGTCTCAAATCTAATATGATTCCAATATCAAGTTAGGCTATGAGTGAGAATCCATTGGGCTTATTATTTTATTGGTTACAATGAATTAATAATTGGCCTGGTCCATGGACCCAATTCAATCAATTCATAAATTAATTTCTACTCCACTAAAAGAAATTAATTGAACTCCAATTAAATAATAAATAACCTCTAAGTCGATATTGCACTTTGACCCCTCTATGCATAATTAGTTATCGGATAAATAAAGCCATCAATCCGACTACTTAATTAATATATTTATTTTGGTACCATTGATTATTTCTGGCTCGATCACAATAAAACATTTGTTTGACAAAAATAATAATTTAAATAAATAAATATATAATAAATCATTTTGTCTAAAAACACACGAAAGCCTTCGAATTTACTTTGTGATCAACCATAATCAATACAAAATAAATACAAATAGTAATGATACAAATATTGAAAATATAACCCTCTAACTATTAATTACATAACTACCCAAAGTGTCGGTCTAAGGATCCCGAAGAATCCGCCGAACAAATCAAAGTAATTATTAATTAATAAAAGAGTCTATAATTTTCTCATGCTTAAGAGTCAAATGCCATGACGATGATAGGGAGCAATTGCATACGACGGCTCTCGCAATATATCTCAACTTAACGCGGATCCAGTTCAAGTCTTAATTAATTATAAGTCCATCCATAATTACCGACTATGAACCATTTATGATTACCATTTATATTCATGTATTGATCACTATCACATACATATATAAATATCTCTCGTAATCAAATGGACACTATCAATTCCAAAATAAATTGAAACATAATACATTGAATCCACCAATTATATAAATCATAAATATTTCAGATATGTCAGGAACATATGTCACTTTAATCCAAATAGGAATTTGCTATGCTAGGGCATATAAATCCCAACAGCTCCCACTTGCCCTCATAGCCAATTCAAATTGCATCTAACTCCAATGTTATCCAGGTGTTGATCAAAACTATTGATCGATGACACCTTTGTAAATGGATCAACAAAGTTGTGCTCCAATGCAATGTCATAGCCATGAGTACATATTCTTGCCGAACAATATCATGTAAGACATGATACTTTCCTCTCACTGTACCTTGTTCCTTTATGGAACCTTGGGTCATTGGTTTGGACTACTTCTGCACTATTGTCACAACATAGCTCAATAGGCAGGCTAGTATACTCCACAACCTCTAAATCAGTGAGATTAAACTAATAGGCTTCCTTTGCTGCCTTTAAGGCTGCAATATATTCCACCTGCAGGTTTGAGTCAGCAGTTGAAATCTGCTTAACAATCTACCAACTGATTTCCCTTCCATTAAGTGAACATACACTAAGTCATGAACCTCATAGTATCTACTTGTGATTGAAAACCAGAACTAGCATACCTGACTAGGACCATATCATCACATCCATAAATGAGTATGATATCCTTGGTCCTCCTTAGGTACTTAATGATATTTTTCACAATAGACCAGTTATCAAGTCTAAGATTGGATTGATATATTTTGACTATCTCTACTATGTAGCGGATGTCCTATTTGGTATAGACCATGGCATATATAAGACTTCCATATGCCAAAGCATATAGTTCCAGTCTCATTTGCTCAATCTCCTCTGCTAGTCTTGGAAAACTACTTACTAGAGAGAGCAATCCATATTAATAAAGCAAGAACTCATTCTTTGAGTTATGCATACCAAACCTAGTCAAAACTTTATCAATGTAGGATTATTAAGATAAGCTTATTTTCCTTTTAACCTGATCTTGCAAAAGCTTGATCCTAAGAATATAGCTTACATCTTGAAGATCCTTCATTTCAAAGTAATTGAACAACTACCTATTTATTGATGACAAAACTTCCACATCATCCTAAATGAGTAGGATGTCATTGATATATATAGAATCAGAAAAATAATGACATTCCCTTGTACACTCATGATTTATTCACTAAGAAATCTTCTGGTATCTTTTTGTAGATTAACTTGCCTTCCATAAGTATCACCCTACTAGAAAGTTCTACAAGATCCCAGAATTTATTAGAATACATAGATTCCAACTCTGATTTCATAGTAACTCGCCAAAACGATCTGTATCCATATCGGTTCACGCTTCCGTGTAGCCAACTGGGTCCAACTCATGTTTAACAGGGATGTCCATAATGGTCTCACCTAAAAACATGATTCTGTCGGATTGGATAATAATCCTCCCACTACATCAATGTACCGATGCAGGAATCTGTGTACTAGATGATGCTGACGCATCAATAGGGAATTCATATATTATTCTCAATCTCTATAATAAGTGTGTTCACATGTGGTACATCTGGTACTCATACCATATTCTCTAACATTATGTTACTAGGTATGTGATTCATAATATGATTCTCCTATAGATAAACAGTGAATGTAAACAATCAACTTTTATCATTGAGATCATAAAATAATCCATCCTAGTGCATTTAGAGTAGCCATCAAATCAAGCATGCCTATAATCTGCTTCCAACTTACTTGTCCATATCAAACACACATGTGCAAGACTACCCCATATGTGCATGTGATTCAAACTAAGATTTAGTCAACATCACAGCTCAAAAGATATCCTTGAGATACACTATGATGGAATACAGTTCATAATGCGCATTAATATCATTAACGCTAAACTCTTAAATGAAAGAGATAATGTAGCATAACTGTTCATAGATCTAACAATGTTAAGTGGAATTCTGTTATTCCTATTTGACACCTCAATGCATTGAGCATCAATTGCGGAAAACTGGTACACAACACCCTCATTGACTATTTAGTCTTTGCACTATCCCAAGAAATACTCATATCCACGATCAGATCGAGGTGTTTTGATAAGTTTACCTAATCTGTGCTCCACATCAGTCTTGACACTTTCAGAATATACCAAAAGTTTAAGACTCTTGTCACATCAGATAAATTTATCCAAAACTTGAGTAATCTTGCTTGGATGTTCATAAGACCACACGTGTTTGTGTGTACCAACTCCAATTGTTCTTTATATCTATTTCGTTTGGCTGATTAAGCCCTTAGGGTTTTCTATCCTTCAATATAAGATTCACAAGTTGGTTTAGGCTCCTCTGCCTCACTAGGTTATAAACTTTCTTTGACCAATCTTTGAATCTCATTTTGATTGATTACAACCCAATAATAGACACTAAAAATACAATGAGTCAGGAATAACAATTTTTCTCTTAACATTCAATCTAGAAGATGCAACATTAATTTCTACATCCTGCAAATCTTAAAAGTTTGTGATTATAGTACATTAACCATCTTTCAATGCACCAGAAGCAATCGCATATCTATTCAATTTTATAAAACCAGTTTTACTAAATAACAATCCAGTTTTTATAAACCACAAGTGAAACAAGAATTAGATAGCGTCTTACTTTTGTGCATAAAGATCGTTCTCTAATACTAATATCCTCATACTCTCTAATTTCAGGTGTAATACTCCCACTGACTTAGCTACAACCTCGACATCAGGTCAAAAGATAAATATATATCCATATCATCAAGGCTTCTGGATTCCTGAAATCCTTGCAACGAATTGCAAACATGTTTAGTGGCTTAAGAATCTATCCATCAGGAATTAATAGATACAACCACATAACATGGCTCAATGATTAAATATATATATTTTCCTATGCCACGTCATTGCTTAGACAGTTCGTCCTTCATTGCTTAGACAGTTCGTCCTTCAGTGTCTTAGTTAGCGGCAAAAGAAATAATTTCCTTCACCCTCGACATACACTGCCTTATTCCTTTTAACCTTTTGGATACCCATATTTTGTGCTAGCCTAGTCCTGTTATCATCCTTCTTCT